CATGTAGCTGTCTTCATTCCGAACCACCACATGAAGTATAAGGCAGATGGGCTCAGTTGAGTCTTTTCCTCGTCTCTTTCTGCCAAGACCATTCTCACCAAGAATGTTGTGCAGCTGATCTTTAAGTATATAACATCTTTTTTCACGTTATAATTCTCGGGAGTTTAACTATTATTTCAAATACAAGTTTGAGTTCATGATCATAAATGCATATTTACTTGAGAATTTGAATGCGATGTAATTATATGAGTTTATCTGAGCCAGACCAGAACAAGATATAACCATGAGACTCCTGACTTTACTTCTTCTCTTCCCCGAAAGAGTGGTCTGAGTTTTGTATCACAGCAGATGATTCACAGATATATTCTATTACTTGTTGGTTTCTTATGCATGGTCAGATGTTGTATCAATAAATTGTTTATTATATATTTAGAATGGGTGTGTGAGTTGGATGGACACAAACTAGTTACAGTTCGGGCGTGAGCTATACAATCTATAATGTTTGCTGTTCACGCCTTGAAAGTTCACATCTCGGAAAACCTTCAGTCACCACTGGGCAGTGTTTACCTGCTTGCAGGTGGGTTGAGAGACGAACAAACACAGTTAATGAAAGGGATTGTATAGTTTATTCTGGTGTGTTAACTTCATTACATCATTAGAATCTTTACAGAAACACAGAGTAAAAATGAGAGGCGCCAGACGAGAGATCAGTAGAGTAAAACGGAATGAAGATGGTGAGACAGGGAGGACAGAGAGATGAGAAAGACCATCACCACCACCCTCTGCGCTTGTGCCTGTGAGAGCACCTTGTTCTCATCGTCTAGGACACCGGATTCAGGCGGAAAACACACAAACTTACTTGTGCAGCAGAAGGTAGGCTGTGAAGAGCTGTACCAATTTAATATTTTTTTACAACTTAACAAAGGGGAATTCATGTTTGTTTTCCTCTCTGCTTTTTCTGTACTCAAACATCTGATGTTAAGAGTTATCACTTTCACTAACAGACACACACGATCTGGGGTTTTATTCCAATCAGGGGATCAAATCTGACACCGCCGCCAAACAGTGATCAGACTATCTGAAATAAATCCATGCTTTCTCAGATTTACAGAGTTCCTGTACTGGGATTAGTGAATTAGATATAATGGGCACAAATTTTAAAATACACACTTAGCTGTAGGACATATGTCTACTTGTTACCAACACACGTGTGTC